ACCTCCCTTCCCGAGAGCCTGCCCCAATGCCGGATGTAGGGATGTAAGTAAAGCCCAGAAGGAGAAGGGTTACGGACTTGAGAAGCCAAAGACGGATTAGATCTGAAGAATGGGAACAGAGATTTCCCAGCATGTTAGATAGTAACATTTGCAGCCTGGCTTTTCAACTCCTCCACATCAGGAGTTTGGTTGCCAGAGCCCTGCTTCCTCCCCCACATTTGACTATCCCACTGCTGCAAGTCAGAAACCAGCAAAGGCACTGCTTTTAAAGGCACAGGCTGCCCAACCAGAGAGCAAGACCCCTTCCCAGAGAGCATGGAGGGCACAGGCACTGGCAACTGGGAGCTCCATTACAAACCAGATGGACGTCCCATCGTGGCCCTAAAGGGGAAGGTGGGTGGAGTCCGATGGAGGACCTACGGGCCCCAGCATTCTAAGCGTTAAGTACTGCTATCCTGAGTACCTGCTTTCTGCTGGATTAACGCCAAGAAAATGAGCAGAGGGAAGGAGACAGCTCCTGATGGGTTTTAAAGAAAAGTGCATTTAAGCTTAAAGTCAGTGTAGCAGAACAGCTGGGCTGGAAAACTGGCTGTTTAGCTCTGCAGTTGGTGTCAGGGACCCACTGGCTGCGAGACAGTAAGAGCAGCTTGCATGTGTAAACTGCAGGTACTGAGAACCGAGACAAAGGGCCTCTAGGGAGCAGGGACTCCAGGGACAGCTCTTCCCCATTCCTATACATCAGGGGGAAGGACAGGGCCTGAGCTGGTCGCACTCCAGGCACTGGCCAAGCTCTAGAGTTTCCATGTTCCCAGCTCTGCCTTCGAGGAATCACAACCCCAGGATCCCAGAATCTCAGATCCAGAAAGGACCAAAGATGGCACAGGAATCCTTGCTTCAGCTTCTGGGGGTCCCACTGCCCCTGGGAATGCCTGCACGTCCTCTGCCCAGCCTGCCCTGCGGCTGTCTGCAGCTGGGATGGGGAGGAAATTCTTTTTTGTGTATGCTGAAACCTGTATCTCTTCTGTCACCAGCACGGTGGACATACATACACTGTGGCACCTTTGATGGCAGTGGCCTCTCAAAGACGACCTGACTCACAAGTCAAGACGATCCAAATTCACTTGCAGGCATTTTTTTTTCTTGGCCTACCTAATGTTTTTTTTTCTTTTTTTAATGTGTATGTATTTATTTATTTATTGAGAGCGAGAGATTCCCAAGAAGGCTCCACAGCAGCACAGAGCAGGACGCAGGGCTCAGTCTCACCACTGTGAGATCATGACCTGAGCTGAAATCAAGAGTCAGATGCTCAACCGACTCGGCCATCCATCGGCCAAACGAATGTTAGAACTGCTTTTACATCCCATATCTACAATAGAGAGATTTCCTTTAAAAATCTGGCCTGGTGGATTCTCTGGAGATATTAGAAAGGCTGGCAACAATGAGCCCACGCTACCACAAGAAAACACCCTTTGTGTAGGCCCGGCTGTCCAGACGGCTCCAGCCCCAACACTCCCTTCTGTCCCCTGACCCGGCTGCCATCCTGGTCTGCAACAACCGATTGGTCTCTAAAGGTATGAGTTTGAGAGGCCAGACTCTGTCCACGCTCCGGGTTTTAGCAGCGATTAGAAAGGAAGATCGCCTTGGTCTAGCGCTCATTCCCTTCCTTTATAATATAGCCTCTTCCCTTACAGAGTTCTGCTCACCCCCAGGGATCTCCTTCCTTTTGTTCTGTTATCTTCATCTAGTGACCTTCATTAACATAAACATAACCAGAGGAGCAAAGCAATTTGTTTAACCCTCCTTTTTCCTGTGACCATGCATATAAGTCAGTGGTTCTAACAGGTGGCAGGACCACCTACCTGTACTGTACCTTCTGGGGTTTCTGGAAGGTATAATTAGTACCTTAACGACAGGGCTTGGGGGCCAGAGATGTTAAATATCCTGCTATGCAAGGGACAATCCATAAAACAAAACAAAACAGAACAGAACAAAACTTGGCCTTGTGGAATGCTTCCAATGCTGACTGAAATGGAACCCTGGCGAAGTCTTCCCTGTCCTTCATTTAGCTTCTCTGTGCTTCGGTGCGGGGGTAGTCCACTCCACTCGCCCAACACCACACTTCTCTCACAGGGTTGTTGTGGAGATCACATGACATAAAACCAAACGGATAGATGACACAATACGAAGCACACGGCAAACGTCAGCCATGACAACCCATCTAGACAAGGGGATGGTCAGGGGCGCCTGGGTGGCTCAGTCGAGAAAGCGTCCGACTTGATTTCAGCTCAAGTCATGATCCCTGGGTCACGGGACCGAGCCCCGTGTCGGGGCTCCACACAGTGTGGAGCCTGCTTAAGATTCTCTCTCCCTCTGCCCTTCTCCCCTGCTATCTCTCCCCCTCTCTCTCAAATTAGAGAAAGAAAAAAAAAAAAAAAAGAGTAAGCAGTGGGTACCCTGGATATCACTGCTCCCCTGAAATCCATGACATTTTGAGGAAGGCTCTAGTGGCTGGTAGCCTCAACTTTTCCTAGCTGTTCCCCTCCTCAGATGGAGAAAGGGCTTCCCCCCCTCCCCCCAGAACACAGCCTCTTGTGATGAGTACCCATCCATCACTAGACTCTCACCTCAAAGGGATTTAGGGAAATGGCTTCTGAGGCTCAACAGTAAGGCAAAGGGATCAGAACTGGATCCCAGCCCCCACTGCTGGAAGGAAGGCTGGCCATGACTAGGGGAAACGGGAGGGAGGCTGCACATCAAAGGGAAAAACAGCAGTTCAGTTCATTGGAACAAACCAGGAAGAAAGGACCAGCAACAACTTATTACTGAGAGAATAATTTGTAACTAGGTTACAGATAGTCTGAAGAGACAGACAATGGATGGTAGAAATGGACAAAATAAAACAACGTTAATAGAACTCTCTTGATGGCTGATGTAGAGTGAGAGCACCAATTACCCTAAACTTCTTACTTCAGATTTCCCTTCTGCATTTTGAGGAATCTTGCAAATGATTCCTTCAGGCACCAAGAGCAAGAATATTTAAATAAAGACTTGAACCTAAGGGGTTATCCTCAGGCAGATTCAATTAAGGGCAAAGGAACATTCCTCTTAGATTTACAAGTTACTGGTGCCCTCTGGTGGACAGTACAGGTTATGTCTGTTGGTTAGAAGCCGGAGATTTGAGGCTCCTATTTGAGGAAGCCGCCTCCCCAGCTCTGATGCAAGCAAGTGGAAGGAAGTCTCAGGTGCTAAGCACCTCACGTGCATTAGCTCATTTGTCCATCAGCTCTGTTTTCCAGATCAGTGAGCTGAGGCTTAGAGACATTAAGTGAACTGCCGAAGGTCACCCAGCAAGTAGCTAACTGGCAATTCTGATTCAGTGCCAAGGATTCCAGAAATCCCGATGGTTACAAGTGTTTCAAACACACACACACACACACACAGAGAAGAAAGTGGATGTAATTTTTGCCAAAATGCATCCCATATTTAGGTAACAGCTTTACCCAGTTTTGAGCAGTATAAAGCTGGAGTTTTTGAGTTAAAATTTCCCAATTTAGGGCCCAGGAAGTCTCACATTTCTTTAACTTGATTCGAATGCATGGTTTATTTCCCACCAGTGACTCTTTTAAAGGTTAACGATGAAGGGAAGAGTCCCAGAGTGCGAGGAGGCAAGATGGGGTTACCCAGACCAAATGCATTCGTTAGTTATAGTTTAAACTGTAGTCAAAACCTCCTGGGTTTGCACGTAAGATTTTACACGCGTGTATATCCTTTCTCTCAAGAGGCGATCCAGAGCACCCACCCCTTGACCCCAAGCAAGTTACCAACTACGACTCTATGAACTGTTTCATGTAAACATCCCCCTGCCTGCATCCATATACTCTTTTGCTTTCCTCTGTTTCTTTAAGGCTTAAAGGATACCTGGGTGGCTCAGTCGGTTAAGTGTCTGACTTCGGCGCATGATCTCATGGTTCATGAGTTCGAGCCCCTCATCAGGCTCTATGCTGACAGCTCAGAGCCTGGAGCCTGCTTCAGATTCTGTGTCTCCCTCTCTCTCTGCCCCTCCCCTGCTCACACTATCTCAAAAATAAATAGATGATTGACAGATACCTGGCTTTCCCCCAAGGAACCTTGGCAGTCATTTCTCCAAACCTCATGCACCTTCAGTAGAGGAGACGGGCCTCCCTGACCGCATCCAGACTACTATCCCGCCACACAGAAATCTCTGCTCTTTTGAGACTTAGACCTCCTTTATAGTGCCATCTGCTTACCTTCCAGATATTTTGCTCACTCATTATCGATTTTGGGTTCCCACAATCCTGCCAACATCCTGGGTGATATCGACGCCACAGGAATGACCCATCCAACACCCCCAGCCTCACAGGACCCTTCCTCATTGACCAACATCAAAAAACTCCTCTTCCATGATGCTTGAACTGCTCGCTCCATGCCACGCCTGGGACCTACCCTCACCTGGGATTGTCCACCTTTGTGCCAGTCCGCTCAGACTAAGTCAGTAGCACACCCCCCAAGTCTTGTTTCTCTGCCCACTGCAGGACAGCCGCAGCTCTGCTCCCTGTTCTCGTCGATCTTGGAGCCAGACTACAGGGCAGCCTTCATTCTGGGGTGCACTAGCTTCATGCTGAGGGAAGAAGCCCTGACTGACCCTCGCAATGTCCCCCGAACCTCTGCTCAGAAGCAGTACACTTCATTCCCGCTGACATTTCATGGACAGGCCTGGTGCCACCAGGGCACGGAGCACTACCCACCCTCTCTGGAGCGTGGTGGAGAGAAGTGGCAGATGATTTGATGACACCATCTATCACAATCTTGGAAGTCTTGATTAGAACATCGGTCTAGGGGTGCCTGGGTGGCTCGGTAGGTTAAGTGTCCAACTTCAGCTCAGGTCATGATCTCACGGTTTGTGAATTTGAGCCCTGCATTAGGCTCTGTGCTGACAGCTCGGAGTCTGGAGCCTGCTTCCGATTCTATGCCTTCTTTTCTCTCTGCTTCTCCCCTGCTCACGCTCTCTCGCTCAAAAATAAACCTTAAAAAATAAAAAAGAACATCAGTCTATCTCGGAACACAGCGGCCTGTCGTTCCTGCTCTCAGTCCACTCCTACCATACCATCTTTCAACTTCGTTCAGCCTGTCCATTTCCTATCAGCCCCTTCCAGAAATAATGATAGATAACATTTATTGAACACTTCATAGGTGCTAACTTAACATCTATTATCCCATGACGAAGCTGAGACTTAGAGAAGTCAAATAATAACTTGCCTTCACTTTCTCCTTCCTATCTTCGAGGGTAGAAACATCACTTCAACTGTTAGGGGAACGGGAGAACCAGGGAGAACTGAGAGCCCAGGCTGGGGACATGAATGCGTCCTAACAGCAATCTGCAAGTTGTATGATTTTTCTCCTGAAGTGCTCAGCGGCTGGGCTTACTGGCTCTCAGCCAGAGGTAATTCTCTCCTCAAGTGACATGTGGCAGTGCCTGCGGACAGTTTTTCTTGGGGAAGGGGCACTACTGGCATCTAGTGAATAGAGGCCAGGGATGCTACAATGCCCAGGACACCGGTCCCCACAACAGAATATCTCCCAGTTCCAAATGTCCATCGTGCTAAGGCTGAGGAGCCCTGGTCCGGAGACCCACTAGTGTCAGGCAATCACCTAGCAAGTTTCTCTAGTCTGTTCTCTCCTCTTCCCCGGACTTCCTGCTTCGGACTTCCTCCATTCTCTTCAAACCCTTCCACCAACTGCCTCCCCCACGGGACTGCGCTCTCCTTCCCTGCTTTCAATCACACTAAACCTTCCAGTCTGCCAGATACCATGAGCTCCAAGGCCCTTGCCTGTTTGCTCTTACCTCGATGCTCCCCCGTCTCCCAACCCCCGTCCTTCCCTGAGCTCTCGGCTTCTCGACTCTTCAAGGAGGCTGTTCCTGAACTCTTGACTAGATCAGGCCCCTCTTCTGTATTTCCCACAGCAGCACGTGTGCCCCCACCAGACCACGCGCGACACTAACCCTACGTGTTGCCTAGCCCGTTTCCCGAAGCCACGAGAGCAAGGACCATGTTCCTCAGTTTCAGCACAGCGTCCCCGGGACCTACAAAGTACAAGATAAGTGACAGGTGCTTAGTATTTACAGCCCAGGTGTCTCCATTTCCCTTTGGATCTCTCATACGCACAAAGTCAACACGTCCAAAACTCATCACTTTTTCCTACCTCACCACCACCACAAACCTCCCCTTTTACCATATTCTTGACCTCCGTGGGTGGCACCGCCATCCACCAACTGCCCAAGCCATCCCTGACTCCTCCCTTTTTCCCCTCACAGCCCCAGGCATTCATTCAGGAAGTGCGTCCCCTTCGTCCCTTCCGCATGGGTTTCCGTCAACTCCCCGCACTTCTTTTGGGCTTTTGTCTCAGACACAATAGTTTTAACCACTGACTCGATTCTGTCAGTTAGGTTCATTCCCTGTTACTGACTTCCTCTAAGCCTTAAATACCCGATGGGACTAGTAAATGCCCAGTCAGCACCCACTAAACGCTTAGTAAGTGCTATCTACTGTTCTTCTTGCCAGGTCCACTGCCATCACTCTAGGGACATTGTTTCCAGCCCAGGTTGCTGCCAGGCCCTGTTATCCCTGCTTCTGGACGGCACTTCAGTCTATTCTCAACAACGTACCCAAAGCTCCCCAAAATGCAAATGAGATGTCACACCCCCGCTTAAAATCCTTAAATGGCTCTCCACTGCCTTCAGAATAAGGTTCAACCTTCCTGGCTTGGCATAGCCCACCCGCATCACACCCCAGGGCCGTCTCTCGGCACTTCTCCCATCACACCCTTGGCTCCGGTCACGTGGAACCACCAAAGCCACTTCCTTCACTGCCGCTGCCTGGCTCGTGTGCAAACTGCCCCCATCCCTACCTCCAGCGCAGACCGCAGGCAACTGAGGGAGCTTCCTGATTCGCTGTGCTATTCCCAGTGCCATGCAGGATCTGGCTCAGATTAACATCAAATAAGTTATTTATTGACCGAATTGAACTCCCATGCTTTATTTTGAAGAGGAAACAAAGCAAAAAGAAAGTATTAACCACATGAGTTCAGGGTTGGGAAGGTATGTAGTGAGATTATCCCTGCATCCCCAAACCCATAATGACCTGCAATCTTTCTAATAGCACTGATTTTTGTGATACCTTTAGAGTGTGGATTTGTGCAAAGTCTAGCAAACGGGGGTGCCTGCGTGGCTCAGTCAGTTATGCATCTGCCTCGATCTCAGCTCAGGTCGTGATCTCATGGCTCTCGAGTTGGAGGCCCCCATCGGGTTCCGCGCTGATGACACAAGAGCCTGCTTTGGATGCGGTGTCTCCTTCTCTCTGCCCCTCCCCCACTTGTGCTTCCTCCAAAAAATAAACTTAAAAAAAAAAAAAAATTCTAGCAATCAAGCACCAACTAGGCATTTGTCTGCAAATGGCAATTTGAATCAGTGACTAGTTTCAGCTCGCCTTACTCTAGCCCGACTACATTCAACAATGATTCAGCTTGCAGCACCAGGTTAAGTAGGATGCAAAAATCCAGGAAACAAAATATGTTGTGCAGTTGGAATCCATACAAAGTACCTTAAAGGGGTCACAAAACGTGTAAAGGGCTGTGGACACGGAAACTGGCTTCATCCTTGGCTCTGATGCTCCTCCTCCTTTTTTTTTTCATTTTTAAATGCTATCCCCAGTATTTCCAGTATCACCCCACACCCCCAGGAGCTCCTCATACAGGTACATATTACATAACTCTAGATAAGACAGCCTACGAAGTGTGCCCCCAACAACTGTGCAGCATACACCAATCCGTGTCTGTTTTGCAGTGGCCCTGAGCTCAGGACAACTGACCCGAGTTTCACTCACCTTAATGGTCCCAGCTGGGAGGACATGACCTTCTGAGAACGTGGGCTAGCAAGCTCTCTGGTGGACAGGTTTTCGTGATATCCCTCAAAAGAACAGAACAGGAGGGCCACAGACCAGTGGTTTCAATGAAGCTACTGAAAATGAACGTAAAATGTTGTGCTTTTTTATAAGAATTTCCTAAGTTTCGTTAGCTTTTCAAGGAGGGCTAGAATCCCCCCAATCTAAAAACCTCAGCAAACGTTAGGCACGGAAGTGATAAATCAATGTGGACTTTGTGACAAACCCTCACTACCTCTTGAACTAGCCCCAATCCGAAACACAAAATAGAAGCCTGCACCTAGCATGTCTCCGTCAACTCAGTAGAGGCAAATCTGTCACCTCACCATTTGAAATCTCTCCAGTAGCAAAGACGGACAAGGCGATATAGTCGTGGGCTCAGAAGAGTTAGGTACAGACTGGTGCCTAGAAGGCAGGCTTGTCTCAAATCACCCTAGACATGCAGGTATGATACATTCTCTAATTCTCAAGGGCTTTAGTTGGGGAAATTCCACTTGACCTAACTAGCTCAAGGTTCAAAGCAACTCTGCAAAATCTTTTCAGTTTCAGAAAGAAACTGAAGGACTGGGGCGCCTGGGTGGCTCAGTCGGTTGGACGTCCGACTTCGGCTCAGGTCACGATCTCGCGGTATGTGAGTTCGAGCCCCACGTCGGGCTCTGTGCTGACAGCTCAGAGCCTGGAGCCTATTTCGGATTCTGTGTCTCCCTCTCTCTCTGACCTTCCCCCGTTCATGCTCTGTCTCAAAAATAAATGAATGTTAAAAAAAAATTTTTTTTTAAAAAGAAACTGAAGGACTGGGAACCTAAAAATGAAATACAACACTCTAACAGGTGAATGGTGGAAACTATCAAAGTCACTACTGATTAAGTACAGCAACTTCTATGGCAAATTCTATTCTCTCCGTCCCCAAATCAGACAGAAGACTGCATATAAAAACAAAAAGTGAGATTCTGTTATATACAAATTTCCCCAATAATGACACCACAACGGCAAAACGAAAAATATTTAATACACAAAAAGGCACAATAGAATCAACAGGGATTAAAAGCATTACATAGTGCAAAAACCAAAAAGATACAGAGCTATTTTATTGGCGCTTAAAAGGACTAGATGAGAACACATGAAGCTGTCTCCTTTCCCCATTTACTAAGCTGGCCACATTCAGTTACTTAAAGTTGCTTTTTTCCTTCCACGCGACGCAAGCACATTGGCTACACTCCTGTCGGTTATGCTACCTGATGAGATATGTCATTTGGAAAACTGCATGTTTTCGGTGTATTGGCAGTGCATTTTAGGCCACCTACTCAAGTGCACGTAGAAAATTTTCGTGGATCAAGACCACAGCGTGGCAGTTGTATCTACTATCCAAATTTACACACACTTCGCTCAGAACCTAGAGATGGCCTCTTTTCTAGTCAAGAGCTTCATAGCAAGGAAAGAAGAGATGGGCTAGAGGCATGGGTATAAGGAAGCAACATAGGCTCTGCTAGGCAGGCATAGAGAGGAGCTTGTGCTCGGCTTCCAGAACATGAGGTATTCTGAATACATACCCCAGAGCTTGGTATAACAATTCTTAACATCTTATTTAAAGCAATTTACAGGTTAGGTTGCTCCCGCATCCTTTATCTCCATAACAAACTATGAGGTAGAAAAAGGGTATTACAAGTATTCATTTTGCAGATGGGAAAAACTGAGGCTTAAGAAGGTCAAGACCAGGACCACAGAGGGTGGAACGATCTCACTCCTTACCTCTATCCAAAAGGCACGTAATAGTGCCTACAGACTAAGGACAGAGTCCTGTTCAAAGGCTGCTTACAACTTCTACCTTGCCAAGTGCTGAGGAGGCCAGAAACATTTCATTCCCCTTTTAAAACATTTTCTATTATTTTTAAAAGGAGGAAAGAAAAAAACCCAAAAGGAGACATTTTGATTATTTTAAAAGGAAGTGAAAAAGCAAGGCAAACTGAAGGAGAAAAAAGTCCTGTAGGAAAGGGGAAGGCTGGCCTCAATCTCTTAGTGCGGAGACAACAGTGGCACTGACTGCCCTCCCTGTTCTCCCATCATGGACGCAAAGGAAGCCTAAACTACGAGTTGTTTTTTATTAGATAGTAGCTCTGATGTCACAGCTTCCCCTCCTGATTGCTAGAATCTGCCACCTAACTCTCCAACAGAAACACTCCCCCAGACTGACTGGAAAAGAGGAATCTTATCTAACGATCACTGTAGTTACAACCACCCAGGGGGTGATACAGAAGGCCTTTGGTATAAAGGCAGTATCCAGAAGCAGACCTCTTTGAACTCTGAGGAAAAAAGAGCAACAGTAAGGGAAGAAGGAAGAGGAAAGGTAGGACATCAAGGTAGCTGTTAAAAAAAAAAAAAAAAAAAGCCTTAGGATAAGACATTAGGCGTTCTGATAGGTGTCAGTGTTCTAGTGATTATGTCAACTTTCAAGAAAGCATTTGCCGAATGATAGCGACTGTTCTGACACAGGAATTACTCTATAGCACTTGACCCTTTTCAAGATCCCTGACCCATTCTACCCCAAGAAATGAGGACTCTCACTTGCTGTGCTACGTTCCCAGAAGGTATCAAATAAGGATCCTGGATAAAGGAAAACAATCTGCAGGACAAGCAACATCTTTGATTTTGGATAAGCTACCAAGAGATATCAGCTACTTCTTTCTGCAGATACACTTCTCTGTGACATTTTCAGTCATTCAAAAGGCTCTGATGGAGGTACAGTAAACCCGAGTGTTTTTTAAGGTTGTATTTTCTTTAACAAGGTCACACGCACCAGTAACGGCATTACTTGGGACTGCACGTTCATTCTATCAAAAGATCTCAAAATGCTTAGGATACAATCTCCCACAGGTGAGAAGAGATCTGGCGGCTCCTGTAAAGGACGAATGTAGCAATGGTGACCGAGGAAAGCTCTGTCCACAGAAAGGATGTCCCAAAGCAGTCTGGAAAAACTGTCCCCAAGTTAGGCCAGGGAGTCACTTGAACCACTACCTCAGTTCAGCTGCAGACCCTAAGTATCTCTCCTCATACGCTGAACTGCAACTCCATTAATCACCTTCCGGACAATTCCAGCAAAGTAACCTCAGCATACCCTACGGCAGTGCAAAATTCCAGACATTTGTAAACATTGCACATTTTGCTTTTGGCACAGGGGAGAGCTTACGGGTTTTTTCTCTTTGAAGTGCAGATCCTAAACACAGCTACTTCCTATTTTATAGCCATTTTCAGCAAAGGCATTAGCAGTCTTGATAGTGTATGTACATACATATATATACACACCCATGAATGAAGAGAACCATCAAAGTAAATTCTTCTTTAGGGTTCTGATGAACAATTTAAGTAGATACTTGGCTAAATGGAAAACAACAGATTCACAGTATCTAAAGGCATATAGTTCAAAGTTCACATAACTCTCGGGGCGGGGGGGGGGTGCAAATAACTGGTTAACAAGTTTCCTCCTTTCTAAAGAGAACCAAGAGATAACACAATACTTCTGCAGAACCCAAGATCTAGCATTCACCAATTTCTCATTAATGACTTTTCAGAGGAGCCAAATATTGCATTGAGTTGACATTAAAAAAAAAAAGGTTACAAATGATCCTGACCGTTAAAAATTTTCACAAATAAAACAATGTCCTACAAAGCATTATATACACCTAAATATACATAAATTATTATTAAAACACAACTGCATATTTCAAATGCTTGGCAGTGATTCCATCTTATATTAGAAAAGTTCATGGCAGTTTGTAGGCTGGCTTGGCTAGACGCTGACCCATTGTTCAAGCCTAGGACCGAGAACCTATGATTCCATAGAGGGACTACGAAAAAATGGCAATATGCATTGGTCTTAAGATTTTTATCAAGTCTGATTTAAGTATTTAATACAAAAGCATAGCAAATATTATAAGTACAGTGCAAGTACAGGGAGTTAATGAGACAGGAGACATTTTTAGCTGTAACCTAAAAATTCATTCTTAAGATTTGTCACTTTTGCTCTGAATTTTCTGTCCAGGGTAACCTGATCATAAATATTAATAATGGTAATTAAAATAAGAAGTTTGGTGCCGGGACGCTTGGCTGGGCTCAGTCAGTAGAGCATGCAACTTGGTCTCGGTCAGAAGTTGAAGCTCCACGTTGGGGATAAAGATTACTTAGAAAGACGGAAAGAGAGAGAAAGAAAGACAGAAAGACACAGAGAGAGGGAGAGGGAGAGAGAGAGAGAAAGAAAGGAAAGAAAGAAAGAAAGAAAGAAAGAAAGAAAGAAAGAAAGAAAGAA